TTATATGAGACAGGCTGCTGGTGTGCCCTCTGTCCATGGCAGCTTTGGAGACCCTTCCCAGGGGATGGGGATGGGTACCCCTCTTGGGGAGCAGAGAGGGACAAGGAGGGACCAGGAGGGAGGAGAAGGAGAGGTGAGACAAAGGGAGGGTCAGGGAAGGACCCTTTTTACTGTCAAGTCTCTGCTTTTGTTTTCTCCCTCCCTCCTGATGACTCTTCATCCGTGACTATCTCTGGTTGGTTGTGTCTCTGTGGTCACACATCCACGTAGCCTTCCGGGCCTTCTAATTTGGTCTGTTCTCCCAGAACCAGGACTCAGCCCCCCCTGTTCTGAGGCCTTGGTAGCTGGTACCGCTTATCTTGTGTTATGGGCAGTATAGTACATATTCCCTTGGTTCCCAGACTTTGTGTCCTTGTTGATCTTGTTGTGTTAGACAGTATGGTATATGTCCCCTCAAGTCTCAGGCTGTGTCCATCCATTGGCCTTGCTGTGTTAGACAGCCTGTCTGCCTCCAGGGCCAGGAGAAGCTCCAAGTATGAGACCCAAGCTTCTTAGAAATCAATTAACACCTGCTGCCCATTCTGAACCCTTGTAACGAATATATCTATACAGATAAGCCAATTCCCAAAAAGCAAACCTTTAAATACCATTTCTAAGCCAACATCTTTCACAGTAATAAAAACAATATTCAGGTATCGCTTCAGGTTCTGTTCCAACAGAACTGGTTGGTTAAACGTTTGCAATTCACCATTCTGGTAGCAGGACCATGCTTCTTATAAATTTTAAGTTTTTATAATATCTCACCCAAGAATTGAGCTTTCATGGGAGGAGGGTGGAGCAGGACTTGTATTTAATTCCAATCTTTTGCTCTTGAAATTAACATGTAAAACCTTATTTCCAAAGTTAATATGTTCATGGTACCTTGATTTTATGGGGTGAAAGGTTGTGACTTTTCACCCAGATCTCTTGGGTGAAACTATTACTAGATTTGAGCAGTGGGACACTGTTATTTCTTTTCTATATTTTAGATACAAGTCATGGCTCTCCATTCATTTATATCATGGTAAATTATGAGCGTCTCCACTGAAGACAGTAGTGATACACTGGCATATATTAAAGAGAGAACCAAGAGCATATAATTTAAAGTATTGTACTCTGACTTGCAGCTATTGATTGAAAGTGAACATACTTCTTGTAAAATAAATAAATAAATAAATAAATAAATATATAATGTGTATGCACAGGTTTTGGTTAATTTCCAAGTAGAACTTGTTTTTCATAAGCCAAACTTTATGCATCAGAAGTTGTGTATTTGTGGTTAGGTTTTTTTCTCAAGCAAAGCCTTACATCAGAGGGTGGACTTATTACATGGATTGAGTACACATGCAATCTAACATGACTCTAAAGTTGATTTGCGGATGTGATATAAAGTTTAAAACAATATCAATAATCAATTAAAAAACGTTTTCATGCAAGGAACATGTTGTATTACCATAATGTAATTTTGATAGCTTTATCGATATATCATTTTTACATGTGAGCTATAAAATCTTCTTACCACAGAATGTCAGAAATACATTTAGGATTTGAAGCTGGTGAGTTTGAGTGGTAGTCAGATAAAGTTCTTGCTTGACACATGCAGTATTCTGCTTGTCTCTGGGGCCATGTGCAGAAATGGTGACAGTTGACAGCTGTTGTTCCCCTAATAAGATTAAAGTAAAGAAATTAGTTGTGCTGACTTTAATCTGCCATTTAACACTGCAAACCACCTGGGGCCTGCTTCAGTGCTGACACTTGCAATTTGAAATAAAAAATTGTATAACTGCATCTTAGTTAAGAACATGTCTAAATACATTCTAATCACTGCAGTCTATAGTTAACAAGCTTATGGTATCAGTTAAAAACCCTTCTTATTGTATTGAAAAATTAATTTGACATGCATTTGCTTAAGTCACCCTTTCAAATACATTACTTGATTCTTTGGCAAATTCAAATACTTTTTCTGACATAAGATTCATTTGGGAAATACAGAAGCAAGGGTGCATTATTTCAAGTTAATTTATTCTACACCAAAGAGGGTAGTTTCTCCTTTTTGAGATCTAGAATGAGTATTCTTTAGAATTATGAAAAATACAGTATAGCAATAAGAAAACTTTTAAACAAATCATGATAAAAAGTTAACCTGCTGACTTCAAATTTGAAGGGTTAGAAAAATATATTTTCATATTTAAATTCACTGATCCTTACTTTACAATAGTGGATGACAGTTTTCCAAAAAGTGAAAAATTAAAATCTTTCTTGTACACTGAAAATGAACATTACCTGTTGTTGTTTTTGTTTCTAACTGTAAGTTCATATGCTAAGACATGGGTAGGTTTTAGAGGGGGTGGAGTAGTGTAGTTGTACCCCCCTTTCAGTTGAGAATACCATGGGAGCAGCAGCCAGGGACTTCTAAGTCCCCAGATTGGGTAAAAATTCCTCCTCCACCTTTCCCCTCCAGGCTCAGTGGCACATCCCCCTTCCCTCTCCTGCCATTGCTGCTATCCCAGGACAAGGGGAGGCTTCAGAACAAACTGTTCCTGCCTGCTGCATTTGGGCTCTGTGAGGGGCTGGGCTCAGCCCAGGACAGCAGCAGTGGCAGGCAGTTTCC